AAAAAAAAAAGATTGCTGTATTTGAATGCCATCAAGTCAGTTTCAACTCATAGTGACCCTATGTAGGGTTTCTGACGCTGTATCTTTGTGGGAGCAGAAAGCCTTATCTTACTCCCTGGTGGGCTCGAACTGCTGACTTTGCATTTCGCGTTCCAGTGCTACCTATATATAGAGCTACCATGCATGCTCCAAAAAAGATTAGCTGAAAGTAATAAATGAAAAGGATTTATCACAATAAGTACCAGGAAAATACTAAATGATCAATAAATGGTAGCCATGACTTAAAAAAAACAGAAAACAAAGCAAGAGGATTAGGATGATGATGTTGATGGCGCTGGACCACAGACAGGCCAAGAACTGCCCATGGACAGAATGGTGAATGGATAGTCTTCATTGCTGAGCTCCTGCAAAATGTACTTTATCACTTACCAAGAGATTCCAGGTGTTCAATCAATTAAAGAGAGACTGTCTAGCCAAAACCCTTTGTTAATGAGCAAATGACGCTACAAGAAACTATGAAGGCCACCTGACTCACCTCAAGGGAATTACTCCTGGCCCTCAGACGCCAATTCCAACTCAATGACATCACTGATGATTCGACACTCTCCCAACATGCCCGCCAGAGGGCACCTGTTCCCACTCATGTCCCATCCTATGACTCTGCTCAAGGGGCCCTTGTAGCACAATGAATAAGCATTGGACTGCTAACCAAAAGGTACCAACTACACTACCTAATGCTCTGCTCCCGCAAAGATGGTGATTGTGGGCGGTGGTGTCAATTCAGACTCAAAGCCACCTTGTAAAAAAACAAATCGAACTCACTGTCTTCAAGTTGATCCCGACTCAAGTGACCCTACCTGTAGAATTGCTCCATGGGGTTTGCACTTGAACTCCCCACCTTGAAGTTAGCAGCCCAACACTTAACCACTATGCCAACAGGCCTTTTTAGACGACCAAGTTCCTGAGGCTGTAATCTTTACAAGATCAAATCCCTAGGTCTTTTCTTCCTTAGTTCAGAACTCCAAGTCTTCAAGTTGCCAGATGTTGGGAGTTTCTGGCTTCCATTGTACCTGATTGTGTGACAGGACAACTTCCTAAAGTTTTTCCTTAGAAATGAAAAGGGTCTGATATTTATAATCTATTTTTATCCCACTCTGCCATGTCCATTTACTAGTTCATTATTATATAAACTGAACATTTAAGCTGTCGTGTTATTTAACATTTTTATCCCACCCATGGAGTATGAACATTCATGGAGTCCTGGTGTGGCACTATAGGATAAGCACTGGACTGCTAACTGCAAGATCAGCAATTCACACCCACTAGCTCTTCCTCAGAACACTATGAGTAGGAATGAACTCGACAGCAGTTAACATCAGCAACATGCATATTCATGCATTTCATTGAAGAAATGTTCATAACTTTGATTAAACGTGGCATCAGGATTGGAGGATGACTCATTAACAACGTGCAATATGCAGATGATAAAACTTTGCTTGCTGAAAGTGAAGAGGACTTAAAATATTTACTGATGAAGATCAAAGACCACAGCCTTCCGTATGGATTGCATCTCAATGTAAAGAAAACAAAAATCCTTACCACTGGACCAATAAATATTCTTATCAATGGAGAAAACATTGAAGTTGTCAAGGAAATCATTCTTTTTTTTTTTTTAACGTTTTTATTGTGAATTATGTGTTAGTTTACATAGGAGAACATTATCTTAACATTCATCCTATCATATTTCATTTCATTGCAATGATTACAATCCCCTGCATGCATCATCAAACAACCAAATGGCACACCCACATGCCTGCCCCCCACAACACACACAGCCCCTCTCCCTTCCTGAGTCCAGAGTCCTCAGCTGCTCCTTCTCCCCACTTCATTGTCTCTGCCTCAATCCCAATCAGGGTCTGGCACTGCACTTTGTTTTTTTCTCTTGATGGTTCCAGGGATCTCCTCTCCTGGACTGCAAAATCAGCCACTCCCCTCCTATTGTTACAATACATTTACATTTACCTTTCCAAATCTCACTGTCACACCTGATAGCAATCATGCCCTATTGAACCACAGGAGGACTTCATTCTTCTTGGATCAACTATCAACACTCAAGGAAGCAGCAGTCAAGAAATCAAAGGACGTATTGCATTAGGCAAATTTGCTGCACAAGACCTTTTTAAAGTGT